TAAAACCAATGAGCGTAATAAGTTACTTCAGAGCAATAAAGATGAATATCCCGCCATGTCGGCGATAAAGATGAATGTCCACCGGCGATTGGTGGCGATCGCGTATTTAGTACAGAACAGACGCGAAAATTAAAATGAACGGCGGAGGTAATTGTGCCACCAATATTAATATTGTACCTATTATAAATTTAGGATTTTAAAATTGCACAGGTATTCCTGCCACCAGAGAAAAGGGTCTCTACCTGAGAGGGTAGCACAAGAGGGTAGAAGCAAAGATTGTCAAGATCCCATTGTTGATCCGTATATAATTGTATTTCATGATAAATACCGCCGTTTTTAAATTAAATTTTTAATAAATATAAGTTATAGTAAAAACAAGAGCTTTTAAAATATAATAGTAGGATACAAATTCATAATGAGATTATTTACAAGAAATGACAAGAAACTAATTGCAAACCCACAAAGTACAGACTTTTTTTTTAATTATGTAGGAGAACAAAATATTGCCAAAGGTATAAAATACCTCAAGTGTACATGGGTGGCACCTTTACCTACTGTATTAATTTTGTTTGCAACATTTCACCATTCACGGGTTTAAAAATTGGCATATATTTTGTTTATTAAAAAATAAACAATCTCAAACTTATTAAAAATCATTTAATCTATTGAAGCCTAAAATTTTAAGGGATTTTAATTTAAACTTGTATCCAATTGAAGTATTTGTAGACTTTGAGAAGGCTTTACACAGTGCACTTCAATAAGTTTGGTCTTAATTAAAAATTTGTTGGTGCCAATGTCATCTTCACCAAGCATGGTACCGAAAAATTAAAAGTTAAGGGGTAACAGAGCATTAAGGACTCAGACATAGCGAAATGGTTAAAATACAGTTTTGGACTCGCCTATTTAAACCGAAACGATGTTTGAGAATGTTTTGCTTAAAAGGGCATTGTTATTAGCCCCCTTCCTCCCAAAAAAAATCCTATTTAAACTTGTCCCATTCTTCCCTATAAATTTCTACTCCCTGAGGTTCAAGAATAGATACTCTGAAGGTACCATTTCGGTAGGCGCGACAGACGACCGCCGACGCGACAGACGACAATAGACGCGACCGAGAAGTGTCTCTTCACGTCTAAAATACATACAATTATATGAAACAAATTTCACTTCTTGACGACACTTTGAATCTGTCTCGGGGCAAATCGTTTGCTGCGTGTCGCACTCGAGGTCACTGTCCTCAGGCATCGCTTGTATTTGGAGGTGATTAGGATGGAAAAATCTTTCGATCTAGGCAGTGTTGCCAGATTTTGGAACAGTATGGGTGAAAAAAAAAACCGTAGATCTGAACAGTAGATTTTAATACAGGGGGAAATAATTATAATTTGCAGTGTAGTAAATAAAAAAACAAGTTTAGAAGAAACGAAAAATATACTTGTTTCTACCCAAATTAGAAAGTAAACAAAGAATAAAAACAAATAATAACATTTTTAATATATACTTAACGTACGGAAACAAAAAAAAAACAATGAAAAATAATAGGTTCCTACTTCTTTTAGATCAGTCTGAATCAGATAATTCAAAATCGTAGTGTTTGCCATATGCATGTTCTTTTTATGATGCCCTATTAATTCTTTGTTTCATTTTAAATAAAAACATGGAGCCAACCTATAGTAGTGGATGCTTATTACGCTGCTTTTACTTCATCAAATTTACTAGAGAAAATATTCTTTAACCATTTGCTGAAGAATGAGGCAAACTTAATAAATTAAGAACAAAATTTGCTAGAGACAAAAACAGTGGATCTACGTAAAAACAGTAGGTCTGGCACCGCTGATCGTTCCCTCGAATGGTTATCTGCGGGTGTCGCAAAATCCGTCTCCAAGCTTCCCAAATGAACGGAGCGTAACATTTATTCATCTGTCGTCCTTGGGGTCGCCTCGGTGGTCTCCTGTCTCCTTACGCGCATACTGAAATGGTACCTTGTGATGTGCTTTAAATATGTTTTAGACAGTAACCTTAAATTAAATAATTTCCTAGTATTTAAGACTTAGTTTAGGAGACTGATAATTCTTAAATGTTTTAATAAGTTGAAATTTTAAACACTAAAATATCAATAAAGTTTCAGTTATTTATTAAATTTATTACGTTTCATAATCCTACCCCAATTGTTAGTGGCACAAATACCGGTTTGTTTTTAAAGAACCCTTTTGGTCGGTAGTACGTTTACCGGTACCCTTTTCTGCTCACGTATATTTAGTGGCACATTTACCTCCGCCCAAAATGACATTCGCACAATAGTTACTTAGAATGTGATCGTAATATGGGACTAATTAACTGGAATGCTACCAGGATTCATAATATGTCTAATGAGGCCTAGTATTTAAGACTTAGTTTAGGAGACTGATAACTCTTAAATGTTTTTAATAAGTTGAAATTTTAAACACTAAAATATCAATAAAGTTTCAGTTATTTATTAAATTTATTGCATTTCATAATCCTACCCCAATTGTTAGTGGCACAAATACCGGTTTGTTTTTAAAGAACCCTTTTGGTCGGTAGTACGTTCACCAGTACCCTTTTCTGCTCAGGTATATTTAGTGGCACATTTACCTCCGCCCAAAATGACATTCGCACAATAGTTACTTAGAATGTGATCGTAATATGGGACTAATTAACTGGAATGCTACCAGGATTCATAACATGTCTAATGAGGCCTAAATGCTGTGGGGCATCTTGCCCTCCCGACAGATACAGATTAATGTATGTCTATAATAGTAGAGAGTGATCTAGAAAAAAAAAGTTTATAAAGTAGGCCATGATCGACACAGACAGATACGAGTTATGTCCGTGATAACTACGCACGGTTCTGAAATAAATCCAAACTGACATTTAAAAAGAGAAAGAATTGTACGCTCCGACAAACTGAATGTTCCCAATGCCTACTGTAAAAACATTTTTTGTGGATCACTTCATAGTTTCCTTATAATTCTGACGTTATTAAACATATTAACTTCGGTGTAGCAGTGTAACTGTGCTCAACTAGTAAAAATAAAATAAAGGCTCCATACATTCAACTTTTTTATCATACTTGAAGACCCAAGTTGCTAAAGGACCTATGTAACAAAAACATACTTTCGAAACATTTTAGTTTAAAGTTTTTTATTCAGATAGTTAATCATCTAGAAAGGTGTGCTCCGCGAAGAAAATAATAAAAAAAGCAGTACTATGGTCACAAAAGGAAAAGGGAGGGACCTGGCTCAAGGACTTTTTTTTAGAAATGTGTTTAGGGCTCCGTCAAATATTTCACTTTTCAAAAGGGTTCCGTCACCATAAAAGTTTGAGAACCACTGATCTAGAACATGCACTTTATCCCTTGGTAACATTTATTTTTGAAAGGATATCAAAAGAGAACATGTAATGAATTTTAGATACATTTGTGAAAAACATCGATTTAAAAAAATTATATCGGCCCTTTATCCTGTTGTGCCTTCATTTGAGACGCTTACCACTTCTCAGGCATATCTGTAACGTAACGCCACGTTTCAAAGATGGTAAGTCTCTTGTTAGGAGCAAAATGATAAAATATGAATAAAATTCAAACATAGAATTCGGGTCAAAGCAAAATATTTTTAATCCGATCTCTTTTAACTCACTTCTAAAATTATTCATTGTCACCTGCTAAGCGATGACTAATCTAATCATGTTTATAAATAAAAGACTACGGATTTCCTCAGCGACACAGGTCGTTTACTTTACATAAAGAAAAATGGTAATGTAAGAATCGAATAATAATTGCTTATGTTGACCATATTGCACAATTTTAATTGTTAGTTGTATTTGCCGTTTCCTAACAATAATTTAAACTTAAGGTTAAAACTTAAAAGGTAAACATTTGAATAAAAACATGATGTTTCGGAGGTCATAATATTTATTAAAAGTGTGAATATTACTTTTAAAACTAACAAAAAACCATTCTGCCATTAAATTTGACATATTTGCATTGAAAAATATATAACTTTATTTTTTGTGAAGCGGTCCGCGATATTTACTACAAAATCGTTTAAGCAGAAAATATTCTGCACAAATTTTGTAATTTGTTCATACTTTCTTTTATATACCTATTTTTTAAACCTTATGGGGGCTTCAAGTCTCACTTTAATCTTCAGCTATTTTCACTATCTAAAACATTGTTTTCACTAACTTTATTAACCACACCAGCACTATATTAACATATAGGGGTACCGACCTATTTGCTCTTATAATTTATATTTTGTATGAGAATTGATTAATTACAAAAATGTCTATTTTATTTTTTGTACTTGAAAGTTTTTGTAATACCAAAAGTATCTATTTTATATTAAAAATATCATAATAATTATATTAGACAGATGTTTTTTGTGGAAAATTAACAATTATTACTAGGTTTTGGAGGAACATATTTAAGGTTCATTTGAAACCTGCGAAATCCCTTTAATAATTAATACAAGTTGTTTGCCATAAAAATAGACTACTGATTAAAAATTGAGTAACTGCTTTTAATTAAAAATGGGTAACAAATAAACAAACAAATAATGCTTATTTTTCAATAAATAAAATGTCCGACTCTTGCCTAATTTTCTCAGAAGTTTTTATCAAATAATTCTTATTACCCCACAGCTCCAGCTGAACATTTTATTTATTGAAAAATACGCACTATTTGTTACCATTTTTTTTTAATAAAAGCAATTATTGCTTTTTTTACACTATTGCAGAATTTTATAAGAAAATTTCTCCTTAAATGGTTGGTAGAACACTGTTAAAATATTGAAACATAATTACGGAGCACCCGGTATATTACCCAATTCTCATACAAAATATTATTGATAATTTACCCTCAGTCTCTAATTTCTAACATTTTGACATCGTTGTTCCTTAAAAATTTGCCAAAATGTAAGAATTTACATAATTTCCACACCATAATATTTAAATCGTCAATCTAAAATATTGCTTCATTTCATTTTTAGAGCTTCCACGGTACAGCTGCCCTCGAGCAACTGATTAGTTCGGAGGAAGAGGAAGAAGAAGATCTGACTTTATCCGCCGATGAAGGCTTCAGCCCTCCAACGCCTAGCCCGTGCGAATTGAGCCCTGCGAGAGCCACCTTGAGGCACACATTGTGGGAACGAATCCGACATTAGACCATGACTAATTTAATGTAATTAGAAAACGAGCGTTGATGAGATTGATATCCCAGAGATTTAGTCTCCATGCACTTTGGGTTATTTTAGTTGAAGTGTCCCAATTTTGACCATTTAAAAAATGCTTGTTGCTGTCCTTGTGTTACAATAGTTATTTTTTCCTTCTCGTTCATGCGAAATTATAATAATAATAATAATAATAATAATACTCTCCCTAATTCACCCCCTTACGAGTGAATTTCAACCCCTGAAGTCGACTGAATGACTTGTGTAGGGGAAGGGACGGCTATTATTATTATTTGCCGTGGCGCTCCGGGGCGACTTAAAGATGATTGATGGTGCCATTTGACTTACAGGTGAGGAAAACCCGGAAAACCTCACCCACCATCATCGAGACGGTAATGTATGGCGAATTTTTTTAATCTGCATGTCATATCAACAGAAATTGAATTTCTATTAATACGCCACACATCAAATCCTAAACCGAACCATGCAATTTAATTAAAAATCCACATGGTCTGGTCTGGGATTCGAAATCCAGCAGTCTCAGACTCATAAACTTGCCTATAAATGAATATAAGCGCGATAGACCGCTACACCACCGTCCCGATAATTGCAAACCAAAAGTGATAAATACCAGTATAAAAATAACTGTTGTAGATACATTGATATAGTGATGGGAATAACAACTCAATAACTAAATTTTTTTATTAAAATACTGCATTTATTAGAAATACATTTCAGTTACTCAAATTTAGAGGATTTGGTTAATCTTCTTTTTCTTCCTTACAGAATTAGAAATATTTAGTTTGAAAAGAAAGCCAATAATACATGTAAACTTTAAAAAAGATTATGATCAGACTCGATTTTTTTCTTTAATATGAATCAATAATTTTAAGTTAGTTATGTAGATAAAAATAAAAATTAGAAGTGCGTGGAGAGTAAAATAGGAATATCACTTTTCTCTTTGTTATATTGTTACAGCCTGCATATTTATTAAGTGTACGTTTTTAGGCAAAATATGTTTTTATGTGTAGGTAATGAATTCCAATAAATTTTAGACATTTTTGTGGGATATGTGCAAAAAACTAACCATGCAAGTCGTCGCTGTATAGTCAAAACAGAAAAATAAGAAATGAATCGAGAGTATTTAAAGTGTGTAAATTGAGTTTTATTAATAAAACTGTAAAAATTTGTCTAAGCGCTTTCAGCCTATTAGGCCATCATCAGAGACTTCGTCATAGAAGAAACATGAAAAATGCACTAAATTAAAAAGGACAGCAACAGACCAGTCCCAAGTCTCCACCATAGCTTGTAGCTTGGATAATTGAAAATAACAGAACCACACCGAAAATGTGGTTAAATTTTAACAAATGAAGTGGGGGTTCATCCAAACAAGTAAAACTGAACACTCCAAACCATTCAAAGGAAAAGAAACTGCTGGTCTTCAACATGAAGACAGCCATATTTTTGTGCCCCAACTTGCCTCCGCCTCACGGTAGCAACTGGAAAAATCTGGCTGTCTTCATGTTGAAGACCAGCAGTTTCTTTTCCTTTGAATGGTTTGGAGTGTTCAGTTTTACTTGTTTGGATGAACCCCCACTTCATTTGTTAAAATTTAACCACATTTTCGGTGTGGTTCTGTTATTTTCAATTATCCAAGCTACAAGCTATGGTGGAGACTTGAGACTGATCTGTTGCTGTCCTTTTTAATTTAGTGCATTTTTCATGTTTCTTCTATAGTTTTTGATGAAGTCTCTGATGATGGCCTAATAGGCTGAAAGCGCTTAGAGACATTTTTACAGAGTTTTATTAATAAAACTCAATTTACACACTTTAAATACTCTCGATTCATTTCTTATTTATTACCCAGTGTGTGCACACCACTCAACCTCTTCAAAACAGAAAAAACTTTTCTAGAATTCAAAATATGATTTCTTTTTCTTATCAAAGTTGTCCAGTGATAAATTACATGAATATTCAGTCAAATAAAATTTCTTAACAAAATTCTGCAGAGAAAATCAAAAGTGCTAGAAGTGTTCTATTTTAAGTTTTAAAAAGATGGCATCGTTATTAAAATTATTAGTCAAATAAAATTTCTTAACAAAATTCCATAAAAAAAATCAAAAGTGCAAGAAATAATGAGAACGATGAAAATTATTAATGAATAAAAAAATTTAAAGTGAAAAATCAATCTGCATAACTAAAAAATGCTAGACCCCAAAATACAAGATTTTGACTATGCAGTTGCGAAATATTTGACAGTTAAATAAACCCTTCTTTTATAAGAATTAAATAATATAATGTTAATGTTATTCCTATGATAATATAGAGGATAATTGTATATTTGATAATATTTATAGAGCATGCAAGTTAAATAACAAAACAACCGATATATTTCATTTATAAAAAATGTAAAAACATTAATCATTTATAGGAAGACTGTCGAAACGTACAGATCAATTTATCAATTCGCTAAAAATAGCTAAAAAGTTTTTAAGAATTTTTAAAATATTCCATTATTAATAAATGTGCATGTTATACTACATTTATTTATGACTAATGTATATATCTGACGTCGTATATTTATGTAGTTAAAATGGATGCAAATCATTAATGCGATAAAAGGTTTCTTCAACTGTGATAATTTAAATTACTAATAATACTAACATGGACAAGCAAGAAAGCTCAAGTGAAAAAAGTGGCTCAAAAGTTCTGACAACTTTCTTGCAAATATTAAGAGCATTACCTACACATCTATGTTTTTGTATTATTTAGTTTTATATGCATATCATCACACTATATTTATACCCTATTTTATACAGTTATTCCTCATTAGTTTTGATTTAATTAGAACTTATGAAGGATCACATTGTATTATGGAGTATATAATTTATTTTAATACATTTTGTCAAATTGTTTTTCAATGTCCCCTGTAATTAAAATAGCACAAGTTATTTCAACTTGAGCTGTTTTTTTTTTGTTGGTAATTAAAATTAGGTGTATATGATAAAGGAAATGTGATTTTATAATCTGAGATTATTAAGTGTGCAGATAGTTTTTTATTGTCCTTAAATGTTTAGGTTTTGCTATATATTCTAAAGGCTTGTTATTTAAAATTGCAATTATACAATCTATTAGGATTAGCTTTTTTTTTTTAAATGATATTTGTATTTTTAAAATGAAGATGTTTTTATTAGCGACCTGAAATACTTTATGTGCTGCTCATGTTTAATATTATTGCTTTATAAATACATTACTTTACATTTAACATTTGTTTTATTTTTTTAACTTTAAGGAGTGAAAGGGTTAAAGAAATTGAACTATTTCAGTTATATGTTTTATTAAAAGAATCTTAAAAAATAACATCAATCTGTTAAATGGGTTAAAATATGTTTTTTCAAGTTGGGCATATGCTTTGGAATAAAGTCACATTTATGACACTTGAGTGGAGTATTTATGTATTCTTTACATTGCTGAGATGTAGGCAGCGACACCTTACCATTTTTTTTTAAACTCTTTCTGATATCTAAAAAAATAATATACTTAAATTATTAGGATTGAAAATAGAGTGAAAAATAAGAATAATGGCTTGCATTTTTTTAGGCTGAGCTGAAATAAATCTTGTCCAATTTTTATCTAGAGTACTCAAGAGTATTACGCAAGTATTTTCAGTTTATCCTCTACTCTAGAGCTGTATGAAGAAAGGCATGTCTAGTCGTTGAAGGATATACTCCCGTGTTTTGCACTGCTTTCATTTCGCGAGCGCTATGGGCCGAACGGATGATCCTATTTAATTTTTTCAAAAACCGCAATATACTTTAATAAATAAACTTTACTACAGTTTTTTGTTTGAGTCGGCAGCTTGACAAAGGCAATAAGGAGCGCTATAAATCGGCTGTTTTTAAATTTCATCACAGTTACCCCTTTTTTACATTTGTTTATGTAAGACTGATACTTTTACATTTAGGTATTTATTCTATTTACATGTTTTTCCTATAGCATCACCGCTTCGCTGGAAGTATTCAAACCTCAATTGGTCTTTAACAAGATGAACAGGAGTATCTCAAAACTATTCCGGATAAAAAGTAGCCTATAACATTCTTCTTGCTCTGTGAAAAACAAATCTATCCCACGGGAATGTACATTTTTCCGGGATAAAATATAGCTATTCCAGGCTATAATCTATATATGTGCCAAATTTCATCCAGAACCGTTCTGGCGTGATTGACCAACAAACTTTCGCATTTATAATAGTTTGTTATGATATCCCATAGAAACCATGCATTTTCCAGAATTGTTAAAAAAAAGAACAGACACCTAATTATTTTTCTATTTCACTCTTCCTACAATACACACGAGATGGGAGTAATAGGAAAATAAAAGTAGACATTTGGATACAAAATTTAAATTTTCTTTTATAATAGTTTGTTATGCTATCCCATAGAAACCATGCATTTTTCCGGAATACAAAGTAGCCTATAACATCTGACCCCTAAACTACCATTATGCAAAGAATCATGTTGATCCATTGCCCTGTAAAAAACAAAAACAATTCTATCCCAAAGGAACCATACATTTTTCGGGATAAAAAGTAGCCTATGCGCTATTCCAAACTATATTGAGCAACAAACATCCATCCAAACTTTTGCATTTATATATTAGTAAAATTATTAAATATGGTATGCTTTATTGTGGTTTTCATTTTAATTTTTTGTGCACAAAAATACCTAGCACCTCCTGAGGAGTTGTTAATAAAATGTCTCATGCCAAAAAGGTAATGTAGATTTTCTAAGTGATAAATTGTATAACAAACACTTTTTGTATATAAAACATTTCCATCTGACCTGTTGTTCAAAATGTATTGCAAAAAATACACTGATTATTTATGTTCTCAAATGTGGTAAAGTTATTCCTTAAAAAAAACCCTATTGTAATCAGTTTTTCATTATTAACGAAGCAAATTAGCATACGACTTGATCAAAATTCGGATATTATATGTTTATCAGAGCATTTATTTAAATATATCAGCAAAATTGTAGCTCTCTAGGACAACTTTTCTTGACCTATGATGACGTGCCTTTAATTGTGTCTCAGTTATACAGTATTCATATTTTGGGCAACATGGACTAGATTAAATTTCTGATTGTCTGGAAGAATTTTTTTTAATGGGTTTGCTATAAGTGTAACAAATGATGAAATTTTCAAGAATCAGCCGATTTTGGGCACTTGCCATTCCCTTAATTGTCAAGCTATTGACTCGAACAGAAAAACTATTATAATAGCTATTTATGGGGTAAAAATGCAGTTTAGAGTGAATCCGCGTATTACTAAAATTTTCAGTTTATGTGAAAGTATATGTCATTTGAAGCTTAAAAATAAAAAAACTCTTGGCGGTCACTAATTTAAATAAATTTAATCGCTTTCAAAATGTTCACTTTTTCACTTGCAATGGTCAATCAGGTGACGTTTGTGTACTAGTTTACTGAGATTGTTAAATTTATTATAATGACATGGAGATGCAATGGACACATAAACAAGAGTAACTCCGATGTCTCCAGGCCGTATAGGTTAGGTAAATTAATTGAGTTTTTTAATTTTTCGCATTTTTTGTATACTTTTTTACGAAACAATCCGCGATCGTTCCAGGCCGCACAGGTTAGGTAAATTAGTTAGGTTTTTGTATAATTTTTGCTAAATAACCTGCAATGGCTCTAAAACCTACAGGTTAGGTAAATTAGTGAAGTTTTCTAAATTTTTCTCATTTTTGCTAAATAACCTGCAATGGCACTAAAACCTACAGGTTAGGTAAATTAGATAGGTTTTTCTCATTTTATGTATAATTTTTTTTGCGAGGTAGTCCGGATGTCTTCAGGCCGTATAGGTTAGGTAAATTAATTAAGTTTTTTTTTTAATTTTTCGAATTTTATGTATACTTTTTTTACGAAACCATCCGCGATGGTTCTAGGCCGCACAGGTTAGGTAAATTAGTTAGGTCTCTATTTAATTTTTGCGAAATTACCTGCGATGGCTCTAAAACATACATGTTAGGTAAATTAGTTAGGTTTTTTAAATTTTTCTTATTTTATACAGTATGGTTCAAATGAAAGGAATAAATTCATTATAATGGAAGTAGCTGGTTTTTCGAAAAAATGCTCGGACAGGTCAATTTTGTTTACTTAAAGCGCAATTTTTTAAATAAAATTCAATTTTCCCCCACTTCCCATTTTTGGGCAGTGACGTCATTGGCAATTTTTTTAAATAGCAACCTCAATTTTTTTTTCTTGATTTTGATAGATCTTGCAATTTCCTACTCGGAAACATAATATTTGAAATATCTGACATAACAATTTTTTTTGAAAAAAAGTCATTTCAAGATCAGATACATAAATTTTATGTTATTTTGAAACACAATAAATTAATAAAAGATAATTATTTGTAATTAAATGCTTAATCTAACAAAATAATAATAAAAATAATAATAAAAAGAATTTGTGAAATTGTCATTAAATTCGTTTTATTATTATTATTTTTTTAAATTAAGCACTTAATTACAAATAATTATCTTTTATTAATTTATTGTGTTTCAAAATAACATAAAATTTATGTATCTGATCTTGAAATTACTTTTTTCAAAAAAAATTGTTATGTCAGATATTTCAAATATTACGTTTCCGAGTAGGAAATTGCAAGATCTATCAAAATCAAGAAAAAAAAAATTGGGGTTGCTATTTAAAAAAATTGTCAATGACGTCACTGCCCAAAAATGGGAAGTGGGGGAAAATTGAATTTTATTTAAAAAATTGCGCTTTAAGTAAACAAAATTGACCTGTCCGAGCATTTTTTCGAAAAACCAACTACTTCCATTATAATGAATTTATTCCTTTCATTTGAACCATACTGTATATAACTTTTTGAAGAAACAACCTGCGATGGCCCCTGGTCTCACAGGTTAGGTAAATTAGTTAGGTTTTTTTCATTTTATGTGTAATTTTTTTTGCGACGTAACCCTGATGTCTCCAGGCCGTATAGGTTAGATAAATTAATTCAGTTTCTTTTAATTTAGCATATTCTATAGCAAAATGTGATATATAAAAAACATATTTTTGAGCATTTCCAGGGCAAAAAAAAGTATTTTGAAATGTGTTTCAGAGGGTCTAAAATAGCCTTAAAAAGAGCCCGTTCGACCGATGGCGGATTTATCCTTATTTTTATATTTTCTGATGAATAAACATTTTTTTATTGGTGATGTTTTATTTTGCAAATATGGAAAATAAAAATTTTTGGGGGAGGGGGTAAATTTCATGAGACCGCTGAGATTTTTTTTCATTTTTGTGTTTGGAAGGCTTGTTTACTTATGAAAAACATTTTTTTTTTTGTTAAAATATGGATTCACTCTAAACTGCATTTTTTCCATTTATGGAATCAGTTAAGAAATACCTTATTGTATGTAATGAGTGAATATTTGTTGACGAGCAAAGCGAGGTCCTGCAATATAAACGAGTTGCATAAAACGGCATTTCTTAAAGTGTTACAATGTTTTTAACCAGATTATTTATAAAATTGTATTTTGGTAAAACATTACTTACATCTAGGCAACCAACATTACTTTCATGTATTGTTAGTTGCATATGCATAATTTTATTGACAAATAGAACATCATAATTATTTATTCTCAATGACTTGTAGTGTATTTAAACTGTTTATTAAAGTTATTTAGATTTCATGAAAGAGGATTATTTTGTCATGTATTGTTTTATTTTGTTACAAAAAATGTCGCTTTATATGTCAAAAGTGTATTTATTTAAGTAAAATGTAGTTTTTGAAAAATTTCAATACTACCATCTGTTTCTGCCAATAGCACAAAACATGGGAGCGTTGCCTTCAATGACATGCCCATCATCTAGATGTAGTCTACACAAAAATGTTTCATTTCAGACCAGCCATGCAAGACAGAGAGCCCAAGAGCAATTGAAAGGGGATCATCAGGACATTGAATTTGATCAATATACCAATGTTTAGCCTTATTCTAATATTTCACAGGTAACCCTTGTCCTGGGCGTTTCATTACTTGAGCTATGTATATCAGTAAATGCCCAATTTAAGTTTCGAAATAACAAAAAAATGTCAAAAATGAACTTAAAATAAAAATTATAGCATTAAATAATTACCTTCCGGTTTTAGGAAAAATGGGGTGGTATATGAATTCCAATGTTTTTTTGTTTTTAAATGGGAAGAATTCATATCGTCACTAATTACGTGTAAATGTATCCTAAACATGCTAGCTTCTGCATGATACCCAAAATTAAAAGTCCTATTTTTGTGTTGTTCAAGATTTGCAATTTCTCTACCAACTTCTTCAATATGCTTTAACAAACTTATATTGTCTTTTTTTAAAGCTTTTAAATTGCTTATGTTGTCTTTAGGAATAACTAAATAGTGAAATTCTGCTTTAGGATAAGCATCTTTTATTACTGTAACCAAATCATCAGATTTCACTATATTCATAGGATCATTCATTGAAGCTAGAAGTCCCATTGACCAATGGCCAGTTTTTTGTTTTTTAGGTGATGGAGTTTCATCTTCACAGTCTCGTTTGGCCATATTATAAAAATTACAATATTTGCTTATAACTTGTATTGGTTTATATTTTAAAATAACATTAGTAGAAATAGAAATAATTGTACACATAACCTAAGATTTTTGTATACACGAGCAGTGTTGCCAGGTTGCCACACCAATTAATTTTTTCGTAATAGAATTTTGAACTAAAAGGTAATAAAATCGTTCTGCTGCTGCAAAAAAATGCGGTAATGATAATAAACCACAAATAATTTTTTTTAAATTTTAAACATTTGGTTCATGCAGTGAATTTTTTTATTTTGAAGATGTTTGCCCAAAAATTCACCTAAGGGTTTATGCTGAAATGCTGGAGGCTGGTGGTAATCCCCTACTAAACTAAAAACTGACCCATAACAAAAAAAAATAATACAATATAATAAAGCGACGCCTATCTTGGATTTGTTGAAAGATGGAGCCACTCATAAAATTTCGATATTTTAAAAAGTAATAGATTTTCCTCTTTTCTGGTGTAACTTTTTAGTAATAGATTTGTTACAATGTAATAGCTACGGCAACACTGTACACGAGGACTATCTGCAGATTATACGCATGCGAATGCGAAATAGTATAATACGAGGGTTGTAAACAAAATGTTTATTTCAGCTGAACATTGTTTAGGATTTTTTTTTGGAATGGCTTAATTTTTAAAAAAAAAATCAATGTTATAGTTTTAAATAAAATACGACAAATAAATTGTGATAATTAGTAATTTAGATTACTAAACTCATAGTAAAAAATTTGCATATTTTGAGTACGCATACCTTTATACATAAAAATGTAATGTTGGTTGCCGTAATACCTTAACCTAACCGTGCCTAACCTTCAAAACTTACCGTCATTTGTCATTCATTTCAACTCGAAACTCGACCATTCAAAACAAATATTAAATAATAGTCTCTGAAGTCCCTCATTATTTAAATTCTTATCAGTGTCCCCGTGAGTGAGAGTGTGTTTCAAAAATGTCTGCGTTACTTAGTTCATTTGGAAGTATTTTACGATTAGGCCCTAGAGAGTATGTGAGACAAAAATTCAAGTTGCCTTTGGTGAAGTTTGTACACGATACAATAAATTTATATAAATCACGGACAAAAGCCGGTGTAAATAACGTCAGGGAAGTCCTATTTAGGGGTACCGTAATAGCTTTAATAACCGCTCTTTTAGTGTGGCTGTCTATATTTATGTATATAGCATTTTATTATGTTTATGTACCTACCATATCTCACGAGAGGCCAGTCTACTTAAAATTCAAGTAAGAATTTTACCATTTCTTTAACGTCTAATCAGAGCAATATATTTATTTTTAGACCATGTGGAGCTACAGATAATTGTGTAGGAGAAAAAGGTTTATGCAGTTTTCCCTCTGCTCATGTGAAATTAACCAGAAAACAGCAGCTTTTAATGATGGGACAATCCTATAAAATACATTTAGACCTAGATATGCCTGAATCTCCCACAAATCGGCAATTGGGTATTAACTTTTTTAAATCTAACATCTAAATAAGTGCCTGTTTGGGAGCAGTTTTAGTTGACATTTATACCTATGTAGTCTTTTTTTTATTAATTTATTTTATAAAATGAAACTAAGGTAAACTTTAGACCATAATTAAGGTTTTAACTCATTTATCAAGGTGTCAATGAATTGATTATCTCTCCTATTGTTGAATATTTATAATTTTGAATTAGAATATATTCAAACAACAGTTTTAAGTTGTTTGTACTAAACAAAATAATCTATTTTTAATGGTGGTAAAATTCTATGTTTTACTTTAATAAGTATGTTATTAAATAATATACAAAAGCTGTAGTTTTTGTTATAAAATATAATTCCAATTTCATTATATTAAAAAAACGGTGATAAGGGCAAGAGAATCTTCAATGTAACATTGCAATACTAGATATAGGCTTTCATAAATTTAAAAAAGATATCAAAGTATGCTGCAACTTTCCCACTAATAAATCTATTATTTGAAGGGTAACTACTAAAACTATATATTTCTTTAATTCTAGGTATGTTTATGGTTTGTGTAGAATTTATGGGAAAAGATGGTACTCTCTTGAACAGTTCTTGTAGATCAGCAATGTTACATTATAAAGGAATATTACTGGATACTTTGTACAAGCTATTTTTTAGTCCATTTTTTGTTTTTGGATCTGCTGAAGAAAAGCAGAATGTTAAAGTGGAACTTTTTGCTGATTATGAAGAACAATATGTAAGAATTTAGTAAATTTAAACAAAGATATAAAAACATATTTTTTTCATAATGGTAAATTAATGTATGTGTCACGAAGTATTTAAAATTGAATGGTTTTTAAACAAGCAAGAGTCTATATCATCATCATCAAAATAGGCATTTTTAACATTTTAAATTATTAATTAGTTATACAATTTTATATATGTAAGATGATGTCTACATGTTTATACTATGACATAATATATTTTCCATTTTAGAATGAACCAGTTACAGATATTTTTGTGGAAGTTCAGACAAGACATATCGAAATATATTCTGCTAAATTTACAGTAAATGCACAATTTACTGGCCTTAGATATGTCATGTTTCACTGGCCTGTCCTCTCTGCGGCAATGGGTATGTTAAAAAATTTGAGGATTAAACATATAAAATCCATTTTATGACTTAATATTTACTTTATCAATCTATATTTACTAATTGCTTAATATTTTAATGGTTCTATATCCCTATTAAATCGAAATATTTATTAATTTTGACATTCCTTATCACCTGATTTCAATAAATACAGAACTTACAAAAAGTATAAAAATAAATAATGAGTTATCATTTTTTATAAATTAGTAGTATTTCTGGTACTATTATCTTATTGTTTAATCATTTTCAAAGTTTGTATTAATTGCTATGATAGTTGTTAATCAGTGGATAAGTCAAAGGTTGTTCTTATCTCTAATAATCTTTAATTCAAGTTTCAATATGCCTAAATTAGACCAAAAAGACCGCACTTCTCTTATTTTTTGTTTTAGGTATTACGGCCAATTTATTTTTTATTGCACTCGTATGTTTGATAAGCTGGTATCAAATCATTCATTCAGAAGAATATTTAGAATATATTGAAGCTTCCAAAACACACACTGAAAATGGTTAGTATATTATTTATCTGGTTAAGTTATTATTTAACAAAAAATCTATTTCCTATTTTAAGGTCTTTATTAAATTTTATATTATACTTGTTTTTATAAAAAAAATATTTTGTTTCATATTTTTAATATCCTTCCATTTTTAATTTTTTTTAAAAATGACGTACTATAAATTAAAATTTAATAAAGCACTATTTATGTAGGTGGGTTTTATTGTGGTCACTGATGGTATTGGTATTTGTTTTGTAAATAATTGCAAAATATTTTAGCAGGTGGTTTCTGAAGTTATTTTGTTAAATATCGAAATGGGAAAAGTCACTAGCGCACCACTGGTGCTAGTAGAAATATTCGGACCACCCCAAAAAATGCACCTTTATCCCTCTAAAGCGTTTTGAAAATTTCGAGTTGATATCTTCACTCTTTGAAATAATATAAATTAAATAATTAAATTTAAACACACTTTTTATAGGAACTTTTTTTAACAAACTTCCACAACCACTCCCTAAAACCTTCGCACTTATTTACAATGTATACATGTATATGTATAGAATTTTAGTTTGTAACTTTGTTATATTATGTAAATATTTAATCAACAAACGCCTCAATTGCTTTAGAATGTTTTTGGTGAATTTATAATTGAATGTTCATATTATCACTTACGTTGATGCACATCTGTAACGTGTGGAGGATGGGTTAACCCTGTGGCATTTAGGCCTCACTAGGCTCCTTTTGCATCCTCCTAAGTAGATAGGCACCTCCTAGCTCATGAGCCAGCCTACAGATTTAATGTAGTTGACAACGTCGCCAAAAGGTGCTTCTCTTTGATGCACATATTAGAATCATAATGTTTTTGTTAAATTTAAATCTTTGGCTCTACGCCCATAAATTAATTTTTCTAATTTTTACATAAAGTGACATTTTTTAATCGCAAGTGTCAAAATGATTACTTTATGCAACCAGTTGCATAATATGGTGAATATTATGAAACTGATTTCGAAAAATTCATTATGTGAAAAGAAAACAAATAAAAATAAACCTTTTTTGGTTTTAAAATCAATAACAAATTTTTTTTTTGAGAATACGCATCTAAACATATTATTGCAAAGTAGTATTGATTGCCTAAATGTCAGTAGTGTTTAACCAAATCACAATTTTAGTCAAATTATCTACTGCAAATTCGATTCTCATATTCATAACAGTAACTAAAAGCAAATAATAGTGCCTCAGTTTGAAAATTAAAGATCGTCCGTGCCGTTATTTTTCAGTGAGGATAATTATTACTAACAATTACTCATAACGGTAAATAACGTAGGCTTCAAAACGTCATCATTATCTTGTTTCACTCACATTTTGTGTTATGTGTAGAATAATAAGTTTATTATTTGACAAAATAAAACGGTGTGGAAAATGTATATCTGTTAAATGTTTCGGAATATGGCATTTTAACGTCAATGGTAAGGGTATTATTCATTTATATTTTTCATCCAACTACACGATTTTATTATTTTACAGAAATTATACCATTACCACCAATACTCAACATTATATTGGATAACGACTTAGGAACAATACCGTTCATTCCCATGTTTTTAAGTCTCGATATATGTTCGACTTTCTGTTGTTATTTCTTCAAGAAATGCCTGAAAGCTTTTAACGTCTCAATTCGGATGATCCGGTTTGCGGTTGAGTTCAGCGAATATCATCATTTTGATCAAAGAAGGAATAATGCTGCTGCTTCTGTTGCTGCTGCTTCTGTTGCTGCTGCTGGTGCTGCTAATGATAGGGACCCACCAGTAGATCAGAACACGATTGTTTGTGCCAAACATAAAAAAAGCGGTTGTGAGGAGTGTTTGGCTAACAGCGAATTGGTATTTTTGACTTGAGAAAATAATTTTCTTAGATGGGCGATTGCTTCTCCCAATATGTTAAATTTTGGGTTTGGTAACATAAAAAAAAAGTTTTAAATAACGTAATAATGTGTTTATAGGTATGGTTTTTTCATCAGAAATATATTGTTATAGTTTTCAAATCAATTTTTTTGTGTTGTTTGGAAATAACACAAAATTCATACTACATTTCATTCCCTTGGTAAAATTTATTATCATGGTTTCATTTTGGCATACCAGAGAGTTTTACCTATATAGGTGAACCCATCAAGTCTACCCTAGTGTTAATGGCCTGTTTTAATGAATGCAAAAGTTACAATATTTATTATTCCTAAGGGCCTTGCGCTTTTCTTATGCACACTGGCTTTCTTTTGAATATAATAAATTTTGGATATATTGTAGTAATTAACGTCTAGACCAGCCATACTCAACCTTTTTTTCCTTCGGGCCACATTCGTATGTGCTATGTTACACGGGCCGCAATATTTTTGGATGATGACCTTTTTTTTAGGATATCTATCTAAACTTAGTTAGTGGTGACCTCTAATAAATAAAACATAAATATATCCCGTTGTGTTACTGCAAAAACAAGATAACTCACATTTTTAGAGTTTCTATAAAACACTATACAAACGTTTAAAATTGAATAAAAAATCAGTAAATGCTTCAAACCGTTTAATAACTTCAATTAAGAAGGTATTGAAAACATTGTTTACAAAGTATAAACTAATAATCTATCAATAATTGGTAAAAAAAGAAAGAAGAAACGTCACTTAGCTTATTTTAGCTCTACATACAAATCATAATTCAATGTATGTGTCACTATCTTCAGTCGAAGTTTCAGTAACATTATTGAATACAGGTGCAAAATTTTAGTAAATCTTTCTTGCGCTTTTTTGTAAGTAATTACAAAATTTTGTTTCATCCATCCCTCTGAGTAAATACTGTGCGAGTTTGGCATATAAAGCCAAATTCCCCACCCGCGCCCATTGATAAATTAAATCTATTTTTCTGGTGGAATGTATTTAGAATAGCTGCATTTTTTGATACGTTGTCTATTAGAAACTATGGTTAAAATTCAAATTCGCCTGTTACCACTAATACTTTTATTTACGAGTTTTTCACATAAGGATTCGCTCGTTACGGCTTGACGAATCACTCGTAACAGCTTGACCAATCACCCGTTACATCTTGACCAATCACTTGTTCACCACGGAGATTCGAACATCACGTGCTTTTTTTTTTAATTTGGTGTCATCGGCATCGACTACTAAGGCCATTAGCCTCGTGTTCTGTGTAGGCTTTGTTATTGTTTCTAAGCGCCACTTTAGGAACAGCACTGTTAATTAGAACCCAACAATCTAGTGGTTGGTTAAGGTTATCTGTATCGCCGTAAGAAAGGGTGACGTAATAATCTCGTGGATTTCGGAACAATCGAGAAAGGCCAGAGACGGCTCTAGTCATAACAAAACAAATGGCGTGGCACAATGTTGTAATATTTTAACAAACACATTCAACAAAAATAAATAACGGCAAACCACTCCCGAAATACTGGTACGTTTTTACTGGAAATCACTACACATTTTCTCGAAAATTCCAAAATCATCATCTAAAATCATGGTTGAAGTCAATTCGTCGCTCACAACCCGAAATGGCGTATAAAATTAAGGTAGATTTTCAGTAAAATCACCTAAATTACATAAAAAAAAATTAAGTGATTTCAGGTACGTTTTGACCTTATTGGTTTCCTCGGTTCTGTCCTTTATCTTGTTTTGGCAGGAACACTATTAAGAATCGGACTAAATATATTTAGCAAAAATAAGTTATATGACTATTGTCTGGTTTTGGTAGACAAATTTATATATTGAACACAATGTATTGTTATGATTATGTTTTGGTATAAATGCCACTCCATCTTGTTTGTCCATATTGTTAATGTATTAACATGGAGTTAGTTTTTATTGGCTATCTGTTTATCATGAATATAGACTTCTTCCACACTTATAGAAAGTGTACCTACTTAGCTCGAAAATTCCAAAAGTGGAGCTATCTTGTTTTTGCAGCAATCCCACAAAATTCCAAACGTTTATTTAAAAATTAGCATGCTATTTAGCGCTGCGACCAATAATAGTGTTGCGGGCCACAAAAAATCCTTGGAGGGCCGCAGGTTGAGTATGGCTGGTCTAGACTATGGCTCGGAATTGTATTCGGTTAATTCGGATATTCGAAACCTCAAAATTCCATATTTTTAGATCAAAATTATTCGAATAGTTGAATATTCGAATACTCGATATTCGACTAATTCAACTAGGTATTCGATACTCGAATATTCGACTATTCGAATACTTAAATATCGGAATACTGTAAATGTTTATTTATATAATTTAAATGTTTCTTCTTTATCTATTGCTTAAAAATAAAGATAGAAGAAAAACAACTACCAAAATTCAGACTTGGAAATCGGGACTATTACGTTTTATGGCAACGTTGTTTCACATTCGGACTTTTCACACGCTTGTTTATTTTTGTTTAGTTATGACTTACTAGTTATTTTATTCCTATTAGTGTGTGTATGTCTTTCAACGCTTGCCCGCTTTACTTCGATAAAAAAGAAAATAGTGTGGAGTGTAAATTATGTACTTACAATGTCATACACTGAAGTAATACCAGTAATTTGTGGAATCAATTAAGAACCAAGCATCATACAAAAATAAACAAGTATAAATTATACGTTATTCAAATACTCGGATATTCGTATACTGAATAACTTGAGTATTCGAATAAAGTTTCAAACGAATATTAGAATACGAAAATTTGAAAAATTCCGAGCCCTAGTCTAGACCAAATATGTCCATGGGCCCAGTTAAATCGAATGACTTGAAATAAACAAATTTATATTTTGGTTGATTGTACTGTTGATATGTTCTAATATAATCAAAACTTACATAATACGTTGTTCAACGTCTTAAAACATACAGGGCTGTGCGCAATGGAGTGTCTCAGTGCCAGAATTGCCTAACCAACAACATTTCAAAACAACCTTTTTTCTTATAATAAAATCCTTTCTCTGCATGCCAGAGTAGTCTATTCCTTAAAATTATTAGTTTTCAGTCTAGT